TCACCAACACCAATGACGCTGCATTTATGATTTGACTATTAAATATAACAGCATACCAGTAGATGCCACTAAAATGCATCCATAGGAGTTATTTGCTTTGATTTTAGTAAGCTGCTTTGATTGAGTTCCATACTATTTGTTGAGAATGAGTTCCTGCTTGTTTTTTCTTCCACTGAATATAAGATAACACTTTTCCTGTTCTGTAGCACTGTCTGCACAAACCAGGATACCTTCTGGGAGAAATCTGTTTCCCTGTTTTGGAAAGCAGACACACTAGTAGGATATATAGCAATTGTTCTGGTATGGGCTGCTCACGCCCTTAACTACAGTGACTGAAAAAGAGAGACTAGCTCTTCTACCCCTTTTTTCTGATCACAAGCTAAAGTTTTAACTAAACCAGCATGTTAGTTGTCTGCTGTCCTCTCCAGTTAACTGCCCATGATTTTGTTGTGTGTCTTATGGTGTCTTTGTTAAGATAACAAAAATAGGATCGGGTGGGAAGACAAACATTCTCAATAGTTTTGTATTCATCTGACCATGGTAAAATTCTCATCTGCAAACACAGAAAGGTAGAAATAGCCTCACTGGATCAGAACAGCCACTGAACTAGCTCAGTGTTCAGTTTCTAACAGTGTCAGTACCTCATGCCTTTGAGACAAAAATGTTTGGAAGCCAATTATGAAATAGCTTTCACACAACTTTACTCTCAGACACTCCATGAGATTTTTTTTTTATTATTTTGTGACTTCTACTTCTTAAAAGGAAATTTTATTTGTAGGTGGATATGTTTATGTAAATATAAGTATATGTTAGAATGAAAGCTGTTGTGAGTCTAATAATGAGAAGTCCTGCAAATTGACATTATACTCCCAGAAAAACTGAATATTTAATTTCAATAGATATAGGCCCTAATAATCTGTAACTCTTAATAATGATTTTCTCTTTGAAAAAAGACCAGTATATATTTGTCAGGTTATATAGAAGTCTATTGGATGACCAATACAGGAAAATACTGATAAACTGAATGGTAATATTTATTTAAAAAATCCATATTCTCTTATTGAAGAGGATGAGCTGATATTTTAAATACTCAGTTGGGATTCAGGAGAGATTTCAGTTCTTTGCCCTGCCATGGACCTTCTTTTTGACCATGAGCAATTCTATTAAGTTTTAGTTCCTCATTTGCAAAATGAGAAAAATAGTCTTCCTCCATGAGAATACGGAGGGAAAAAATCAATTATAGTATTCACTTTTTGCTTTAGTACTGAAAGACAGAGGAGAATTGAAGGACCATGTGGTCTCCAGGATGCCTAATGTTCCTTATGTCATCAGATCTTCATTACAGATTAAGTTGCAACATTTTAATGGAACAGAAAGGAGCTATTCAAGAGAGAGTCTAGATCTGTTATTCTCTAAGGAGAAGGTAGATGGAAGGTGTACAAGCTCCACATCTTAGGTTGTCTGGTACATGTATATGTTTGTTTGCAAATATTTAATATTTGGTTTCCAAAAATAAAATAGAATGGGAAAGTATTCCAGTGTCCAGTACATACAGTTCAGATTCCATGGACTCATTTATTGCAAACTCTGAAGTTTCTTCAGGCTCCTTTTTAGGATCCAGTAGGACACATAAGCTTGGCTTGCAAATGAATTTTACATTTTGTTACTCAAACTATTACCATTCTTGCTAGTGTGTGGGAGGGAGAGACTCTATTTCTATCATTTCATTTACTCTGTCTTTGTGACCATGCCATATAGTATATTTTTATAAGAAGGAAATATTTCATAATTTCCATTGTATAATATACTGTGTAACTGGGAAGAGAGTATATTGCATAAATAAATCTTGTTTGAGAGATATGTCCAATTTAATAAAATCTGTAAGAGTTCACTGTTCTCTCAGAACAGTCATTGACTAAGATGCTTCTATCAAAAGCCATTTCAGCTGGGGACTAAAAGGGCTGCAAACAAAAAAAAATTAATATTAAATTTCTCCCAGATAGCTCAAAACTACTATCCGCTACTGTGAGTTATTTGAGCAGCCACAGAAATACAAACTGCTTATAATATTCTGAACCAAATTCTTTCATGTTGTGAAGGTACTGACTTCACTGAGCCTGCCCCGGGGATGTATGTGACTGAAAAGTAAAATTAATTCTGCACTTAGTTAGCAAAAAATGTTTGATTGTAAAGGCTGGAAATCCAATAGTCTGTTCCTCAAAATGCAGGTGTTGCCAATAAGAGACACATCTGATCTTGAGCCTTTCTCACCGTTAGCCAAAAGGGAGTTACTCCTGTTGACAGGGAAGAGAAATAGTTCCTGGAAGCACAAGTGTGAAGAAGCATTATGTGCCTTTGAATGCATCTTTCCCTTTACTCTCTGCCTTTTCCTTTGCTTTATTCTGTGGAAGTATGTTTACTATACTTCTCTCTCTCTTTTTAACCTTCACATCTCCCCTACCGTCGTCACTGAACATTATCCAATACTTGTACACTCGTGGAAAAAGCTTTTGTGACATCCTGACCGCCAAGTCAAGTGACGTTTTTCTGCATTCTTCAGCATAGCCACAGCCACAGCTAGTGGAGCAGGAAAGTTTAAATCAGATTAATAGAAACCACAGAGGCCTAATGCTGCTTCTGCTGACCCCAGCTGCCTGTCTTTTGGTCTTGACTATAATTTCTCATAGAATATTTAGTAACACTGGAAAAAAACAATGCTTTACTCTTTTCAGGCTGTGAAATGCGTTTTTTAACATTCTTGCATGATTATGGCTCTTAGTATACTAACACTTGCCCCACACATACGCTCCACTTCTAATCCATCCTCCTCTACTTTGTTTCATCCTGGCTTTCCTATACCTGATGTTCCAGTGAACTCACGGCTTGGTTACCATAAAGATAGTGTTTGGTTTCTCATTGCTTTAGAGTGGTGAAGCAATTGATCTTATTGGGGTATTTACTTTCAAGACAGGCTTGTCCATTCTGACCATAACGTTCTTAGGCAGCCACATCTGAGGGTCATTTCAGATCTACTTCTGTGTTTGAAAATCTGTCTTCAATTCATATATTTTTAGGGGTTACATTTTACTTAGAGGTTTTAAAAATTGGTAGAGAACAGCTATGCCCAAACTTTTGCTGATGTAATCTGGACTGTTTTTATAACTTTATCAGAGATAAACTAAGGAAAGAGTATGTGACCACAACATGTACGTACATAAACACAGAGAAATACATGAAATACTACTAGTAAAGTGGAAAATATTAAAAATACCTTCCAAACATAATGTAAGATAATCATTGGAGCCCAACAAATCCACATAAATAAATGCATGTATTCCTTTTTTTTGAAGGACTTTTCAGAAAGAAGGTTCAGTTGGGTAAATGAGGACATTTGCATTGTGTTTTGTAATTTTAGATCCCAGGTAAGAAAAATGTTCTCATTTGGCATATTTCAACTCTTAAACATGTTGAAATTCCAGCACGATTCCTTAAACGGGGAAGGACGCAACCACCCACCAAATTGCTAAATATTGAGAATATCTCAGTTACTTAACTTCATTGGATTTCAACCTTAGGAGTCTAAAGCTAAAGGATTCTATTATTTATGAAAATACCTACACTTTAACTTCTTACAGATACACAATTGCTTGCACTTAAAATGATTAGTTATTTTCATAAGTGTGTATGTGTTTACAGAACAGCAGCCTAATTCTCTATCACTGAAATTGAGGCTGATTTACTCCTTACCTCAGTGAAAGAATGATTTCACTTGTTTCTAATCCATCTTAGACTGAGAAAACTAATACTTACTTGGGTAGGACAGAAAATTTTTAAGTGATGCCAGACATATATAATCCATCTGGATATGTCGTTGTTAACCATTTAACTGCTTATCACTTCAAAATATTGGATCCATGAGGACTGCCCAAGTCTGATTATTTTCACCACTTGGATTTGGCATCAGGAAATATTCCGCTGGAATATTCTTGAAATCTTCTTTTATAAGGGAATGTATTAAAGTCAAAACTATGCCTGAAACTATAACCATACATAAAATGTCTAATTTGTAACTGCTAATTTTCCTTCATTTTACTTTAATATTGAAACAAAGTTGTTTGCAAATGAGAAGCATACAGTAAACTTTCATATTTGGTGGGTTTCGCTTGGAGAGCTGAGGAGGTTTTTCACAACTATATTTATGAGCAACCACTCTAGGATGCTTTTTGCAACCAAACATTTCTCCTCAACCCATCTTCTTTCTCCCTGTTTTGTTTTTATTTTATTTTTTTGCCACCACTGGCAATTGCATTTACTTTATTCATACTGTATCCCCTCCTTTCACAGAGACAAGGAAAATGTTGCTGCAGCATCAGAAAACAGGTAATACTTGCTCTGTGTGTTTGGCTTCCCTCCTATTCAGAGTTTCTCTCCCACTTTCCTCATATTGTTCTTACCTCAAAAATATGAAATTTGTACACTGTTTCAGCAGATGATGAATGTAGAGGTTTCAACTAGGTGGGTTTGTTATGCATTCCTTTCTAATGTAGACTTCAGAAAGCTTTGTGAGATGGGGCAGGTGGGGATCATGTTTCTCAGAAGTTATAAACCTGAAAAATAAGCAGCTTTTATCATATGCTCTTGAAACAGAGTATTGTCAATTTGTGATGGAGTTTTAAGAAAAATTTCCATTTTAAACTTCGCCTAGATTGTTCAGAATGTGGTTTGGTTTTGTTTTTTTTTTTCCAAATCTAAATAAGATTATCTTTTTGGTGTGTTAAGAACATTTATGTACCAGATTCTTGCATATCTTGATTGATTCTCCACGGGTTATGAGGTTTGAAACATAGTATCTCTGGAAGTTCTTTCATTTCAGAAGTTGTTTTCTCCCAAAGAATCTGAAAATCTACATTTTGCAGTTGCATGTAGAAACATTGTTTTCTATTAGTTCCTATACTAAAACACAGAAATACTGCAACACAGTTACTTCTTCAGTGAATCTGAACAATTCTTTAATGGAGCAAAGAAATGCCTCTTACTGGTTTGTCATGAAAAGAAGTCTGTCTTGCGGCTTTCCTCAGTCTTGTTGATTCCTGCCTAAACAACGTGCAACCACTTTTTATTTTTGTTTTTTATAAGACTGCTTGCATTTGAACAAAGGCTGTATAGGGTCAGAATCCAACTGCAAGCATTATCATTAGAAATGATACAAGCAGTGACAACTGGCACTTGGAACAGTATGGAAAATTGGCTTTTGTTTTTAAATTAATTATGTAAAAAGAATGAAATAAAACCCTTGATTCCTGTATAACAACTGTATATTAGTTAAGTTTAAAAAACAAGTAACATATCTTAGCATTTCACTAGCAGTTTCATTTGTGTAAAATAATCTACAGGACTATGCAGCTGCTCCACTGAAATATTTTTTTCTTTTTTTTATTAATTATTTATTTTACCAGGAACAATTTCTGATGTATGACTGGTGTTAGTGTCAGACTACATTACCTTAATCTTGCATGGTTTGTCATACCATAGCTTTTCTCCACCTCCATCATCACAGCTCTGCTATGTGTCTTATTTTGATATTCCTAGCAATATGGTTTCCAGATTTAACACAAGGTACCTTTTTTAATACTCAAAGCCTTTCCTGGTTTTAAGTGGTAATAAACTAATAAACTGTCAAGTCATTGTCATGACTTCGTCTACAATGCCATTATGATCTCCTATGGTATAAGGAATTTGGGGATACAGAAGAGGACACTGGATATTTACAGGTCTAAATCTTCTTCCAGGAAAAAGAAGAGACAGAAAAATAAAGCCTTCACTATTAAACCTAGAGTTAACTTCATTTTTCAGTTATGAGGTTCAGCACTTTCGGTTCTGAATGTATTTATTTTTTTCCTCCTGAAGGCTTTACTGCATATAAATAATAACTGCTGTCTTAAAGGGCCAGGTATTAGCATTCTAAAATGCTGCTTTATTTGGTATGGTAGACAGTAAGCACATGTATCTCTGAAAACTAAAAAATTGAACAAACCTTCTTCTATTAAACCATTAGCTGCTTCTGCAGCTGTAGTTCTGTCTCTCCCTCAAATACCTGCAACTGCCTAGGAAATAGGTGATGTGATAACAAATACCTCACTTACAAATCCCCTTGTAATCTTTGTTACCCAGGCCTACAGCTACTACGCATGTGCCACAGTATGTGACCTCAAGTATCTGGCATCCTCCTAAATCATGCACCATGGATGCCAACACTGACAATGCTAAGCCAGTGGCCTCCAAGGGGTCTGTGAGGCTTGGAGCGGGTACAAGTCAGAGGGAGGCCAGTTTCATCACTACTGGCCAGAAAGTCCCTCTTACTTCATCCAGTAATCGAAGGTACACTGTGACATGTAACAGCATAACTGACCTGGTTTGGAGCTTTGGAATGGTTTGGTAATAACCTCTAACTCCTTCAGACAGAAATGCCCATTGCCTAAAAGGTGTCTGAGGTCCACAAATTCCAGCAGCTTCTAGTTCATGTGGGTTTTACGTTTCGAAGTGGCACTCTCAAGGATCTCGCCTACAACACAGAGAAAACAGTCATTAAGCACCTTCTGAAGAGAAGCAGCAGCTGATGTTATTCACTGTATTTCTACAAGCAGTCCCATACTCGAATGCAAAACTCTTCCATGTTCTGTCTTCCTCTAAACACCTTCTCCAGCACTTTTTTCTACAAATGCTACACTAAGAGATAATTTTTTCCCATTAATTTTTACTTTTTTCCCTATATTTTTCAATTCTTTACAAGAGATCTGTTGGAGGATTTGAAACAAAAAGAACTTTATGCATTGCATAAAGGAGACTACGTACTGCTTTAATAATCCACTCGATTTGTTATTTGGACAGAAAGTCTCAGAACTTAGGACTTTACTAAGAGAAAGAAGTGTAATCTGCACTTTTTTTTTTTAAATGTTAGAGTGTTTGTTGCTGTGTTTTCTCATTATGATTGTTAACCATTTTTATCCTCTTAACCTCTACTGATCTGTGTTACTTTTCATGAGTTGAAAATCAGCTGAGAAGAGATGTGTGTTTGTTTTCATCCACTTAACTTACTCACATTGTGCATTTTATGTTTGTTACCACAAATATGGAGATGTTTGAGAACATCCATTTCCTTTGATTTTCCTTAAAATGCAAAATACTGTAAAGATTAAAAGTGCACAGAATGACTGTATGTAAAAAAAAAAAAAAAGTACGTAATAATGAAGCTGCTATAATAGATGATCTATTTTATAAGGCAGCATTCACATTTAGCAGTTCTTAAAATTCTTCTGCATCTGAAAAACTGAAAAAAATACCAGATTAAAAATCTAGAAAAGAAGCAATCTTGAGGGGGAAATATTATTTTATTTGAATATCTAAATAAAATTATTTAGAAGTTATTTAAAACTAAAAACAGTCAAGTTAGTCTGAGTTCTTTCTATAAAACTGAGTAGAGAATTAGTTACCAGCTGCATATAATGTATGTAACCAGATCACCCTGATTTCTAAGGTTTATATCCACTTCATTTATAACTATTCCAACTCCTTGTTCCGTTAATTAATATATTCTACCCTGCAGGAAGGTGATCAAGCCTCTAACTTTTTAATCACGTAAAAAGACCTATTACAAACAGCATGCAAGATAAAGTTTGTTTCTATTTCTTTTAAATTTTATAAGGTATTTCAGTATATTTGCATTTATCTTATTTATACATGTTTGTCCAGTCTCCACAGAGGTCTATGTCCAGACATATTCTTATCTCTTTTTTCCTTTCTTTTAAATATATATCAGTGAGTATGTGTTTTGGTTAACATTTTAGAGATTGTTACAACAATTAAGTAACTTCACTGTTTTCTTCTATTCAAGGTATGAAGTCTTGATTCTTTTGAATCTGTAGCAAATTCCCTTTTACTTCAGTGAAAATAGAAAGACAAAATAAGTGAAATCCTAGTTTGTACATTTTTAGGACACGTATTAAGTTCCATTTTTATGTGCAGTATAGTTTCAGTCCTTTCCTGTTTGCCAAATCAAAAATGTGTAAGTGCTAAATTTTGACTCAATGCCTTTTAATGTGACAATTCCAGCACCCACTGTTGCACAGGCTGAAAAAATCTCTGTGAGTATTGAAACTCAGTTGCAGACTAGCCCATGATGCATAGCTGTGTCATACAATCTACAGCTACTCTGCTACATAGTCTGTGTAATTAATACTGTATTGGCTAAGCAGAAGAATTGATCTCATAATGCAAATGCATCAAGATGGAAAATGCAAATGATCTGAATTTCAAATGCACGTTATGATAGACAAACTTTTTCAAAACTTTTGGTGTAATGATTTGAAAACCAGAAGTGCAAAAATGGTGAGTATTTTCAGGAGCTCACTTGTTATGTATATAATTGCAGGTGAGAAAGGGAGAAAATACTGCTTTTCTGCTTTTTCTGTGGGTTGCATTCAACTTTGAAATTGGTGGGCATAACAACTACACTTCCATTTCAGCTAATCGAACAGTAAAATATTCAGCTGAAATAAGACACCATCATTTAGACTACTAAATCATACAGGGAGGTGAAGAAGAGGAGAACGAGGAAATGGGATAGGCCCCTGCAGAGCAAGGGGTATCACAAATTCTGAAGTACCAAGCACTCGTTCTAGGTCCTGAAGAGTATAACTTGTTGAATCGGTGTTTCTGAGAGAAGCAAAAGAAAATACTAGATAGAATGGCTGAAAGGCAGAGAAAATATTTGCACAATGGCAAATTGGTATAGGAAAAAGAAGCTGAGAGAAGGAATGTTTGAGGGCTAAGGTTTGGCTGAAAAAGTCATGGAACTGTAAGCTTTCTTTTGTTACTTGATACTTACTGTGCTCAGGAAAGAATATTTTTGGGCGTTCTTTGTACATCGCACGAGAGAATCACTGAATTCCATCACCCTGATATAAGTCATTTGTAAGAACACAGGGATGTGGCAATATACTTATGAGAATATATCTATTATGTTCTTAAACTACTGGTCGTGGACAAGACAACTACATCACGTACAGTAATGCCCTGATTTAAAAAAAAAACCAACCATAGATATATTAGGATAACTACTAAAGAAAATTAATCTACAGCACAATAATGCAGCACCAAGAAAGATGTCCCTCGTGCCTGGGGGACATATGCTTATATCATCACGGAAGTTTGTGCCCCAAAATAGTATAATAATCTGAAAAATCAAATTACAATTAGTTATTTTTCAGTGGCTTATTTGTTCTGTGGAAAATAATTAATAAAATCCACAGTAAAATCTGCCTAAATGCAAAATTAAGCTTTGTCTTTTCTTGTTTCTCTTCTCCCCTCCTTTAATTTTAAATGACCTAGTGATTTTTGTTAGGTTTATGGACACGTGAATAATGAATGTACATATTATTATTCTTTCATTGATATTAAGTTCATTGAAACAGTCAGCAACGAACTTGAATCTTGTAAGCCCACTTATGAAACAGTCAGCAACGAACTTGAATCTTGTAAGCCCACTTAATGATTTCTTTTTTAGTTTTTTTTTTATTTGACGTAAGAGCTAGTGGAAGACGATAACCTGAACCTCCCAAAAGACTGGTTCCTTTCTTAGCAGTGGATGGCTTTGATTACACTATCTTGCAAAGCTGTCTAACAGACAACTGTGCCCCATTTGTCTATCTGTAACAGACAAGTAATGCTTTCCAAATCTGAGTAAGGCTGCAAGGCTAAAATATGTTAATGAGAAGCTGGGTGCTCTGATAGCAGGTGATGAAAGACGCTAATAGTTCAGAAAATTACTAAAATGCCCACAGGTTATGAGACTAGGTTTTTAAAATTATTATTCAATTTCAATTAATCAACTTTGAAACCAAATAAAGAGAAAATTAATTAAACATTAATGTTACTCTGCTCCATGTTATCTGTGCTACAATAGCACAAGAGGGCCACAAGGATAACAACTCATGCTCATCACCCAAGTGGCTTTAAAACTGGTGTAGTAAAATTTTATGCTACATTTTCTCTTTGTATTTTGCATACTGTTCGATGTGTAAAAAGGCATACTACACTGGCCAACCCATGAAACAGTACTGTAAGGTGAATTTAGGTCAGAGATGAATAGACTCCTTTTAAACATCTTTCCACTACCTGTACTGCACAAAACTGATTAAAGCCAACACAAAACTGTGCTGACTGGATTTCGAGATTATTTGAACTTGCAAGAAACCTGCTGGTATGACACTATGATAATATCCTTTAAATTTCTTTTCTTCATCTACTTAAAAAGTTTACTCCTAACATAAACTTCAGCTCCCAGAGTAAATATTGGGTGAAACTTATCCAAGCTCAAAGCGTTTGAGAGGCTTTTTGCAACCATTTAAGTACTGCATGCCACGTTTCCTACCACTGGCTTATGTGGGAGCGGGACTTAAGTGCCATGTAATGCCCAGGATAAATTTCAGTCAAGCAGGACCAAAACTGCATTACAGTCTTAACTGCACATCCAAAAAGGGCTAACAAATGTCTTTTTTTTTTCTTTTTACTTTGCATAATTGTGCTTTTCCCTCAGTAACACAGCCTGCTACTATGTTTGCAGCTTCAGGTTCAAACATAGTAGGTTTTATGCTCTACACTTAAATATGCACCTTCTTAAGATGCTTCTTGTTTTATTTAATTTAACTCTAATTAGTACCCCTGTTGAGCATGCTCCGGTGTCTACCAGTTCTGCCTCTGCTCCTGCACCACATGCTTCAGCACATCAGCCTGCTACTGCTGCTCAAAATTCAGCCAGTCTGATGACACCACCAGCAACCACCTCAGTAGTGCAAGAGTCTGTCTCATCCTCTTTCCAAAGGTAATGCTTTGTTGCTTTCTCCTTTCACAGATACACCCCTGTATGGCTCTGGAAATGCTGCATACACATTCTTAGCTTAAGAATGTAGTATATAAAAGCTGTAACCTATTTTATATGCTTTTATACATTTTGGTGTGTTTTCTTATTTTGAATTACATTATTCATGTTTGCAAAGAATTTGCAAAATAAAATTGCCCTAAAAAATGTAGCTTTAAGTCTGCAATACAGCTTACATTTTCAGAAAGCAAGTCTAGGATTAAAACTAGAAATGTTTTTTCACCACTTGTAATAAAACCAAAGCAACTCTTCATAAAAGTTACAGTGGTTGAGTGAAGGTTCTTTTAGTAGCGTTTCTGCAGTACGACATGAAATGGAAAATTAGAAAATGTCACTTACTCACGTGATTGAGCTTACCGTATTGCAGCAGATGTCAGTAAAACTTGGTGGACAATGAGCAGTGTGTCAGTAAAACCACATATCTGATGATTGACTGCCCTGTAAGGTATCAAGCAAATTAATTTCTATTAGATTTATCTACCTCTCTTTTCTCTAGTGAGGCTTGGCTATAGAGCTAAAGTGAGTTTCAAGGAGGTATGCAGTCATAACACTTGTACTACAGCAGGAACTACAGTTGTATATTAGAAGTTGTCAGACGGTCTGTGAAGAAACACGTGGGATTTATACTGCTGTCATTTACAGTAATTTTGGAGATAGTAAAAGTGAATTCCTTTGGTGCATATTAATCTTTTATCTTTGTTTTTTTGCTACATGAATATTCCTAAAATATGTATATTTTAGAATGCTTTAAACATCTGAGGAAAAACACACTTCCAGTAATGTAAGCTACTTTAAATAATTGAGACCTAAGATGTAGTCTGTCATATCTTAGATTTGTGTAAATGGAATTGGAAATGTTCTCTTGGCTCTACTTCTTGTTTAATTTTTGCTAATTGACTTAAATTATTTATGTATACAAGCCACTTAGTTTCTCACATTAGTCAGTTTTTTCCTAACCGTGACCTACTAGACTCCAGTGTTTTTATTCCAGTGCAAGAAAATCAATCATCCAGCCAGAAAAGGAGCTTTGAATAAGGTATTATTCTGTAATTCACAACTCTGCTGTAAGGCATTTTCACATGAGATAATGATACAGTTTAAGTAATTTTTATTCCTCAGTTGAAACTGCAACATGAAGAAAATGGATTGTCTAATATATGCCTCAAAAATAATGGCCTCTACTAAACTAATCAGGCCAATGACTTATGTTTTAAACAGGAGAATCTTTTGTCTGGTACTGCTTGCATATTAAAAATTTTAGCTTGAACTCAGACTCAAACATCTTCAGATCTTGCTGATAAAAACATACATTGTTGACAAAAGTCCTGTCCTGAAATATTGTCTTTCTTAGTTATCGATAGACTCTGGCTTTAAGATTTTTCCATAATGTCTGCATTTTGTCTTGTGTTCTGTAGGAATGTGCTTGGTTGTGCTATTCTGTAAGTCTGCAGATGTATGCTACAGAAAACCTGTTCCTGGTAACTATGCAGCAGTCCTCTTGTATCTGAACTCCGACAAGGCTTGATTCTGATGTCACGATTCTGATGTCACTATTTTTGTCCCTGTTACATTATTTTGTACATGCTTTCATGCTTTTACTGTGTCTTCTGCAGAGTGCTTGCAGCCCCCAGCTCTCTTTCACAGCCTAAGCCTTTCCATGGGTCCAAGAACATGTCATTAGCAGCTTCCACTATTTCATCTGCTATCTCATCTCAGTCTAGGTATATCTGTAAAGCTCTCTTCTTTTTCTTTTAACTTAATTTGTTTTTATTCTGTATTACTTTCTTCGATTTAAGGTTTTCAGCTTCTTAGGAGATTGGCTTGGCAGAACTATTGAAAAGCATGATGTGTTTAAAGGAATAGCCTTTCTGCTTATCTTTCACTTTAAGACCAAGCTAGGAAACACTGAAGTTTTAGATTTAAGATATGTGACCAAAAGATCTTTTTGGAACAAAGGTATTTCAGTTGGTTGGTTTGTGCTGTGTTTGCTATCTTAAGGAAAATATTTGGCTAGCAACACTTAGTGAGAATGACACTTTGTTGTTTTTTTTTTTCTTGGTGGAAACACAGGATCACAGGAATCACAGACCTTTTATTATGCCCTCAGT